CTGGGCKTTTCATCCATGTTCTGAATCCTACAAGCCTGCACTTCCAATAATTTTAGATAAACAACTGGTGACAGGATGAGGACATTAACTGCCAGGAAGAGAAAATACTAGTTACTACTATTAGACCAACATTTTATGAGATCAAATCCTGAATCTGAAAAATCCCCCAATTGACCTAGGATTATCAGAATAACTAGCCTTTCAAAAGCCAGCAATGAAATGCCACATGTCCTGAAAGAAACTGTTCATTCCAGCTGTTTATCGCAAAATAGGCAGGTCTGGATCAGACATGAGTCCTTTTCAAGCTTTCAATTTACTACCTATTTCTTCACTCATCTTTGTTCCCAGCTATCAGTTCAGACTTATGATTAATCACCATACAAAAAAGCACTGCTCTCTGTACTGCTCAATTAGTACAGAGATACTCTAGGTAGTGCTGAACCTCAGGTACTCAGCCCTGACTGYGCACACGGGTACCTCGTGCTGAGCCTCTGCCCAGACGGCTCCACGACCTCCCAGCAGAGTGTCCAGCTGCACTTCAGGTTACAGTGCGTTTCAGGCACTGTTTTCAAGAGGCACCATATGGAAAGCTGCATTACGTTTGGCTGCTTCCTAACATCATCCGAGAYCCTACTCCTACTCTCAGGCATCCTAACAGGGCACAGGGCCCTCTGTGTCCTCATGCCACATCTCAAGACCAYGTACAGAAGAAAACAAATAAACAAACAAAAAACAAGAGGGATTTGGCCCCTATCCTCATTTAGGGCGATAGACAATGCCTCATGTTCTGATACCTGGTCAGGTCCTAAGGCTTCCAGGGACTGCCGACATCCTAGAAGACTTAGAAAGCTTACTGGCAGATACAGAAAAGTTGCTGTACAGCTAATCACACTTTATTTTTTTTTCCTCTTTCTAAATCCTAAACATTTTAAGATGTTTTTTCTTGTTTCATGAGTCCAGGTGAGAAATACTCCTTGTATTTAGGAACCAACAATGTATACATATGCACATATATAAAAATGTGTGTGTATGTGTGTGTCTATATACACATGTGTGTACACATGTATGTCTAAGCACACACACGCACATAAATGAGGTAATAGGCAACAACAAAAAAAACAGAAACATCAATATGCAACAAAACAAAACAACTCATCTCTTATCCTCAGCAAAATTTACCAGTTTTCTACACACACTGGGAAATCTGATTCTTATCAATCATCTTTCTGAGTTCTTACCTTACCTGAATTACCCAATTTAATTTGAAATTTAAAATAAATAAGACCAGAATTCTAATCAGTTTATATACCCCAAAATCTAAAGAAAACTTCAGAGTTGGGTTAATCTGACAGATTTTAAATTCACTTCTGTTGTTTAACCTGAATTAGCAAGAATACTTGAACTTGAATTAGTAGAACAGTATTACACACTAATTTCTTCAAAGACTATCTCATCCTTCCAGTACAGTTTTTTGGGTTTTTTGCCTCATTTATCCCATCTCACATGCGTAACAGTTCTCTATCCAAAAGGGCTTTGCCATAAAGTTTATACTTATCACATAATCTTCATTTTTCTTACTCTGCTTCTTGTTCCTAAGCCTATGTGCATGACCTCCCAGAGGTTGCTGAAAGTAAGCCAAGACAATTATTCCGGAAAAAAAAAAAAAAATTCTGCTGAGCTTGGACAAACATCTCTTCAACACTTAATCTTCTTCTTAATCAGKAACTGATGGGATCCACAAGCCAAAGAAATGTGACATTTCTCAATACACCATGCAACTCAGCTTTTTGGTATAAACAGAAGCCTGACTTTTTCACTGATATCTGTTGGGAGCTCTTCCTCAATAAGGTGAGGGGAAGGAGGTGACAAGTTTATAATTCATCTCACTCCACTGTTCCACGGAGTCTAAGGGAAAGAATTCAGAAAAGAAATCTTCTTCCACCACCAAGAAAAACAGACATAATCCTAAAATCTTCTGGCACAGAACCAGACTGGGGAAAAAAAAAAAAAGTGTTCTGATAACAGATATTTAAAATGACTAAGTAAATTACAAAGATTTCAACATAACATGTGATGGCTGAACACAAGTATATACTACAGTTAACAAGTCATTTTTACAAAAAAAATCATCATGCTTGGTCAATTTTTGCAGTATTTGGACTTTCTTTTCCCTATTGCTACAGAAGCAATAAAAATCTTATTTTTATAATTCAAAGGTAGTAGTTTATCTTCTGCCCATTTCAATACRACAATATCCTCTGTTATGTGAATGATAATTTAATACAAACTCAGCTTCTGTAACCTTCACGACTCTTTTCTGCATGCATGCGTTCTTCTATACAGGTATTCTTGTTCCTTTACAGATATGAATTCTATACACTGACTACAAAACTAATAGTTGAATAAAATATAATACACAGTTGTCCGAGATAATATATATTCAAAATACGGACAAGTGGCAGTCCCTGAATAGAACAGAACAACAGTCTACATGATTTGTAGACATAATGCTGCTTAATTTTTATTACCACTAAAAAGAGAGKGGAAAAATACAGAAGAATCCTACAGCTTTTCATTTGAATGTGCACAATGAAAAGAACAACCAAATAAGCCAACTTCCTGTAATTTCATTGACTACAAAAGCAGCCTTCTACTGCAAAGAAATTCAAACTACTATTCCCACCATTTCTGCAAGATATCCCCCCCGACACGAGGGCTGTAATCCAGCACAGAACATGGAAATGAGGGTCCCCATACACGAGGCAGGTCTCAGCTCCCACTACAATAAATGAAACACGGGTAACACGGTTTAACAAGGGGGCTCAGCCCGCTCCGCAGTTGACACCCAATGTCCGACGAGCAGAATGACTCGTAGGTAGCCGGGTCGTGACAGCAGTGACCGTTCAGTCCCGCTGCCCACAGCGAGTGCACAAGGCGCCAAGACCCCCACCCGGCCTCCTGCTGCCACCCCAGAAAGATGCAGGTCTCCCACGGCCCAGGATCGGGCCCGCCACCCTGTTCTCCTATCCCAGAGACTCCAGGGAACCTCCAATTGTGCCAGAACCTGATATTTTAGCAACTGAACTATGCCCTATAAGGACAGCTTTGATGTCTGTTTAACATGYAGACACTACAGGAAGTGTTTGTTTCAAATATATCTAACATATACACACACACACTTCCAGATGTCATCAGAAAAGGTTTTAAAACATTTTCCATTTAAGGTGGAATAATGTAGAAGTTCAACACGGAAAGAATGAAGGTGACATATTTTTCCTCTTCATATTATGTTTCTATCCTACAAGYATCTTTAATCACCTCTGCATCTAAAATATTCATTTAACCCCCATTTTCTTGTCATCTCCAATTCTGAAGAGATTTTACTGTTCACAATTATTTCTTTCATGTACCTCTAAGAGAAGAGATACTCAAAGTGAAAGTCTTGGCACCCAGCTCATCGCAGGCTGCTCTTTCCTGACCTGCTCTGAGCAGGACAGTTCCTAGGAAGAGAAAAACTGTTCGACAGTCGCACACAGCACCCGCWGACCCCTGTTTGCGGGGGTAGCGGCAGGGAAAGGAATCCCTCATTATTCTTATAATTCCAAACCAGTTTGGGCGACAGCAACAGGAAACAGAGAAGTCAAAAGAAGAAAATCAGAGCGGTGTTATAAAAACATGGCAGGTGAAGAGGGAAAACTAGAAAGCATGAGAGCAGAGGCAGCACCTACATCAAAGCACTGGCTGTTTCCTCCCCCTCCTCACGGAGACCAGGTGCTGCCTCACGGGCAGTAAATCACTACGGCCAAGAAAGTTCCCCTTGGTCAGAGAGCTCGGCTACCACCGAGGCGCCCTTGTTCCAAATGACATGATTCACACAAAAAATCAGCACAGAAAATGTAAACCACTGTCAAGGTTTGGGGCCAGACCGGAATTTGGATAGAACTCTTATCTATTCAGGCCTTCAAAATATTTTTTTTTTTTGTTGAATATTAAAATAAAGTATTTAAGGACAACATACAATAAATGCTAAATGTTTCACCAACGGGAATACAGTTAACTCTAACTAACAGCTATCATTAACTTTGCATACTTAATACTACAGTACACAATTTACAAACCAGTCTCACTAGAAGGCTAAATTTTTAARTGAATAAATGAATAAACATAGCCTTTTTTTCCTCAATTTGCAGGGTTTAAAAAAAGCATTACACAGATCTTAAAAAAGATTAAAAAAAAAAAAAAAAAAAAGGAGGCAATTGATACTCTAAGTCTGGTCTCTAACACTGGGAAAACATCACGGTACATGCATTTAATTTGTGAGTAGTACCACTGAAATCAGCTGTGGTGTTCATGGGAAAAAAAAGGACCATCTAGACACACAATTTGTCACATGATTTGGTATTTACTTAAAAAAGTTTAACTGCTAAAATATACAGTGGATGTACTCAACATTACAGAAATTCCATTAAGATGTTACTTCCCTAGGAATTCCACGTAATTACAGACACAGGCAGACACCCATGAGAGAAATCGGGCAGATCTGCAACTCACACTGCTGTAAATCGCTCTCATTTAACACAAGTGGAATTCCTCCCGCGCAAGGCACAGTTCAGCGAGTTCCCCCTCTCATCCGCACGCAGGGTTTGCGCCGGCGCCAGGATCGGTGCCCGCCGCTGGCGGCTGGGACCAGGACGAACTCCCGCCGCGAGCTGCCACTTCCCACCCATCCCGCAAGCAACACCGCACACAGGGTGGCACGAGGGGCAAGAGCTGGAGAACTCTCTTTTTTTCGCTCAGACCATTTCCCATGAAGAGCATCCCCTTTCCTGAGGAAAGGGCTGGAATTTAACACACACCGAGCGCCAGTGCGGAGCCGCCTGAGGCACCTCCTGCCCAGCAAAGTTGCAGCCGGAGCAGGCGGCCCCGCGCCCCCAAACGCGGCCCGACGAGCGCGGCCGCGCAGGAGCGGCAGGTCCCGTCCCCTCCCGTCCCGTCCCTACCTGCCCGCGGCGCCTGCGGGAAGCCCCGGAGGGGCCCGAGCTGCCGCAACTGGAAAACTTTCCGGGCATCCTCGCAGCTCCGCAGCTCCGCAGCGCCCGCCACCAGATGCAGCAGGAGGAGCAGCAGGAGGAGGAGGAGGGCGCGGAGACTCCTCGGCCCCATGTCCCGCCGGCAGCCGCACGGAGCGCGGCCGAGCCGCCCCCGCCGCCGCCCCGCGGCCCCGGCGCCTGGTCTGCAGCAGCGCTGAGGGTGGCGGCGGCCG